GACGGCGAACGACACAATGGTTTGGCTCATAGAGAGGGCTCATTGATTGGCACCGAAGAGTTGCATTTGGATGAGAAGTGGTTTCACGGAAAGCTAGCGGGCGGTCGCAATCAGGCCGAAGCCCTTCTGCACCGGTACTCGCATTTAGGGAACGGAACTTTTCTAGTGAGAGATAGCGATACGTTTGTCGGCGACTATTCGCTGTCGTTCTGGAGAGAGGGTCGCGTCAATCACTGCCGAATCAAACAAAAACAGGAGAGAACGGGAACTAAATATCATTTAATAGATTCGGTCACATTTGACACGCTTTACGGTCTCATAACTCACTATCAATCGCATCCACTGCGAAGTCAAGAGTTTGCCATCCAATTGACTGAACCCGTGCCTCAGCCCAACTCACACGAAGGCAAGGACTGGTATCACTCGAATATGACACGAGTCCAGGCGGAGGATATGCTCAAACGGCTCCGATATGACGGCGCCTTTCTTGTCAGGCCTTCAGAAAAGGAAGAAAATTCGTTCTCCATTTCATTTCGGTATTTATCAACAATTTTCAAATTACATTTCACTCTAAATTTTGTATACATTTTGTCGTTAAGAGCCGAGAATAAGATAAAACACTGCCGTATTAAACACGAGGGAAGACTTTATATCATTGGTAATATTCAATACGAAAGTCTCGTCGAATTAATTAGCTTTTATGAAAAACACCCGCTCTATAGGTTTGATAAAACAATTGCAATTAAATGTAAACTTTACGTAAAATTCACTATTATTTATATAACAGAAAAGTCAAACTAAAATATCCGACAAATGAGGAAATAGTGCGAAGAATTGGTTCTGTAAGTGCTTTAAACATTTTAAATGCCATTCATTTGCCTAATCCGAGGCATTGTTATTGTTAGGAACCTCTGGGCTCTGAAGGCAATTATATGGATCACAATCCCAACGCACAACCCGTGACTGTTAAAGCGTTGTACGATTATAAGGCCGAAAGAGGCGATGAGCTATCATTCTGTAAGCACGCAATCATAACAAATGTGATAAGACTGGAGAGCGGCGGCGGCTGGTGGAGAGGCGACTACGGCGGCAAAAAGCAACA